TTGATAATTCCCCATCTATTTCACCACAACTTTGCAATACGATCCTAAGTAATATCTAAACCGATCGTATACTCATTATTATATGACTTGATCGCCCAAATACATCCCCTCAACTAAGGTCTATTCTATCAAAAATTACACTCATGCATAAAACTACATTAAAAATAAAAATATTAAAATACAAGCACCAAAACCTTATCAAAAAATATAAATACAAAAAAGTGTTAATAAGGAACATGCTGAATAGATCAATTTCAAAATACTTAGATGATAAATATATATAACATATAAAATTAGCAGCATGAATATCATTTTGCATTGAAATCCATATGAATGAAAAGAAGATCCTAGCGCACATATGTTGGCCATTAACTTTTGGACCACTGTTGATATTGCAATAACGCATATTAAAAATTATTCTAAGGGATGATAATATAATGTTCACACTGGATAAATTCTCAAACACCCATTTCAATTGATTGATGCATATCACTCTATTGATTGTAATGTTTGCATAAGGTTAGACATTTTCTATGATGAATGCATTACATCCATTAGCATGGCGCTGTTGAGGTATATCCATCTAAATTTCCGTGACAAAGAGTATTAGTGTGGTCCATGAAAATCAAGGAAGTAAGAAACACATACATACATAAATTCTTCTCTAAGAAATGATGTCAGCAAAAAAAATAACACTGGCTTAAATTTAGCTGCAACATATCAACACTTTGAGAGGAAAGTTATATCAACTTTTGTTTTTAAGAGAATAGAACCTATAACAAATTTTTTAAGGGCAAATTAACATACATACTACTTTGATTTTCATGACTATTTACATTTAAACACTCAAAATATATTATTACATTGCATACGCACTCATCATAAAATTTTAATATAAAAATAGACCCATTCCTAATAATTTATTAAATTTTATTTCTACCATTCATACCATGCCTAAAAAACTTTAATACTTTCATTCAATGCACGCCCAATTCTATTTTAATGGATGATGGACATGTAATATTAACTGTTTTATTAATTTAAAAATGAACACAAGCTAATTATGATAAGTAGGCCATGAGACCCATTATCCAAAGACAGGCACAAATGCTACTAACAGAATGCCAATTCTCGCAAAGAGCTAGTGAAGTTAATATCAGCTTCAATGAACAATTACACGTAGTTTTATTGAAATACCTTAGATCAGGATTGTTCCATGCAAGTCACTGAACAACTTGCACCACCTAAAGATCCTTCCAAAAATCAACTATTCTGAGAGATCCACTCGCATCTGTACATAAATGGTCAATTGCTGCCTAGGCACAATGGAAACAGGAACTAAACAAAGAATAACTAGAAATGTATATAATTAAAAGATTTGTATAGATAGCAGAACTGCCAAACATCTAAGCAACCTGAGCATCCTTTGTTTATTCCGTGTTGAGGATGGAATAGCCATCACGTTGCTCCATAACCTATTTTCAATGAAAAATTTACATGCATTTTCAAACTTCTAATATCAATGGATAAAATTTTGTTAACAATAAGTAGAGATAAAGAACTATTTGGAAAACACAAATATCATTTATCAAAGAAATGTAACCCTCGATATGACAGCATAAACACCATTGCAATGCAGTTTTTGCATCATTAATCCCGGACACAATTCAAGACGATGGGCAATATCTAGAGTATTCATTAAAAACTCATCACAAAAAAAGCTAAACTTTTTCAAATAGAAAATGTTTGATTTAACTAATTTCAGGATACTGCCAGCATTTTCTTGGAAGAAGAAGAATTGTCCGGACCTGGGATAAGAATAATTATAAGAAGTTTGCAACTTGGCATAAACATCCAATAATAACGTCATAAGTTTATATATGAAAAATAAAATGCTTTATCATGAACAATACAATTCTAAATCAAGATTGTCACAATGGCTTTCTCATAAAATGGTGAAATCTTCAGAGGACCAACTGCCAAGACAACCGATATGCTTCATAAAAATTCATTACGCAGCAACTTATAAAAGAAAAAAATGTCTATTAGTGTAAAGAGTATTATTAAATAACACTCTTTCCTAAACTTGATAACCAACAAAGAACAATAAAAATAGATAAGAAAAATCCTGAAAGCACGGAGAAAATAAATATGCACCCAGAACATAGAAGCATAGATTTGGTGCTTTTCAAAATTACATCATCAGAAATAAAAAAAAATGTAGGAGTTATTGAAAAAAAGCTAATTACCATAGCAATAGAGTAATTGGACGACAATTCAAAAGCGGCCAGGATAGAGCTTTTAAAGATACCGCAATATACAGTCTTCTTAATAATAAACGATCTTCAAAATATAAGTTCCAATGAATAAAGTATTAGTTACAAAGATTATATGGTTATGTGAGATCTCAAAGACTCAAATTTTTGTTTGTAAAGAAGGACAACCAGTGCCGATAGCGTAGTTACTGTGTTACACCTCTTCCATATCAATGTATGTAAAATCCAGTATACCAAAAATAACAATAAAATAAGCCTTTATCACATTACGTGGATCGGCACATAAATCCTTTTTTATTATTCAGTTCATTAAGATTCAAATTTTTCAATTTAAAATTTATATAAACAAAGGTATTTATAATACTTCTAACCCAAGTTTTTTTTAGATCTACATTTACATTTTTTAACAATAGGCCCCGACGCTAATACATTTACTCTTCCTAATTTAAGCCATCCGAGGCTTTTACTTATGTAACCAAAACCATCTAGAGGTGGACTCTCCTTCTAATATTATCTTCCATTGGAGGCTAAATAATAGCAATACCATTGACTTGGCGCAGCACAAACAAATCTAGCTACTATTGGCTCATATTTATAGAAGTTGCAAATCCAAAAGTTAAATTAGCAAAGGTAAAGAGAAGCTTGAAAAACCAATTTAGGGATTCTTACTCCTCTATTGAAAACTAATTTTATAAAAGATTTATAATGCCCGCATATGGCAATCGGATAACTGGTTTAGACTTTAGGTGATGGAAAAAAAAAGACAAAAATTAAGAACACTAACCATAAACTTTTACAGGTAATAAAAACAAAGGTATGCAGAGATAAGACTCATCTTGAGACACTATTTTGTTTCCCAGATTGAGAAAAACTTAATACAATTCTTAGTTTTTTTTTGGGCAGAAACATTAAATTTGGGTGCGCAATACATTTATATGAACCAACTTAATCTATAATGAGATGATGCGGTCTGGATCAGTCACATTTTAAGAAACGCAGTGCCTAACACAGATGTATAGTTGCTGAAAAAACCCACGTTGATATGAGAATTTGTTTCCCTATCTATTTGACCGACAACCTCCCTAAGCAAACATAGTTTAAACTATGTTAAAGGGTAAAGCATTTGGCCAAGTTAGTTTGAGCTACTGAAGGTAAAAACAAAACTGAAATCAATGATTCGGCTTCCTAAGAATTTAAGCCAAAAATGCCTCCGTATAAAATAATTGAAATTAGCAATCTATTTCTGACAGCTTTTTCAGTCCCACAGCTCAGGCGGATCACACAGACCTAAAGCTAAAGCCAATGTACTGAAATAAAGGTACCGTTGACAAAGATTTTAAAAGCCAAAAAAACGCCCCCATTAAAACTAAACAAAACTAGCCGAACCTCATTAATTCAGAAACAAATTTTCAGTTCCACCGGTCAGGTGCGATCACAGTTAAAGACCTAAAAGGGATGCAAACTTATCCCTGGAGAGAAAATAAGCATCCCAAGAAAATAGATGGATAATCTAGCTAAACTTTAGCCAAGACATACATGGTGGCCTTAACATTAGCTGAGGCTAGAATTGGAATATCGAATTTAGAAATGTACAAAACATACTGACCCATTTAATTTTACATGACATAGCAGAGACAAGCATTGTAATGAACATCAACAATGTTACAGGAGTTCATTATAGGCAACTCAAACAGGAGCTTTTTTTTCATACAAATCACCACTATGAATTGTCAACCATACCAAACTAGCTAAGCATATATTTTATTACTCCATCTTGCAAAGTAAATCCTGTCAAACTTCACAATTTCCTTTCACCATTCTCACCCAAGTGCACATACATAGTTAATCATAAATACTTAAGCGCTTTGTTTGGGACGGCTTTTTACTGTTCTTAAAGTATTTTTTAGTATAAAATTTATTGTTGTACTAAAAGGTGCTTTAAGAAGCAGTAGGAAAGCCGTCCCAAACGAAACCTAATATTAGGTGTACTGTCATAAATCAAGGTCAAGCATAAAATTATATATATATATATATATATATATATATATATATATTAGAGAAGTAGGAGTGCACCCATGAGGGATGAAATGGAATGAAACTGTTGTTTAAGAATATGCTAGCTACCCATTCCACACTATTTTTATCAAAACTATAATCATAAAAGCATTCCACAAATGCAAAACTATTAGCCAAGACAGGCATATTATAAAAAATAGGAAAAGAAACCTGAATAAGTTGGATAGCAGAAAAATAACCCCATAATACTTAGTTCAGAATACAGTTTAGCCAGAAATAGCTTAAGTACACCATATGAAAATAGTGAATATGAAACAAACTTTAGGTAGGGTCGCATCTGGATTGAAAGTTTGAGGATAACCAACCAAATAACAAATTATTTGAAAACTTTGTGAAATGGTATTACAGTACAAACTTTTGTAAAATTGAAAAACGAATAATACCCACTTGACCCAACCTAATATTTCTTCTGCACCTAACCAGCAAAACATAAAATCAGAAATAGCATCTACTGTTTAATGAGCAGTATTGAAAGAAATATTCTTAAAAAGATTTTTTTTTTTCAAGGTAAAAAAACTCTGGGATCCATTTGTAGTTTTTGCAGACTGCAGTGATCAAAGAAAATCAAAGTAGGTTCTGACACACCAAGATTAAAACTCATTTTCAACACTCAAATATTCGTTCAATCTTAACTCATTAACACGAGCTTATCAACAACCTTACCTATAGGAGAGTTTCAATCACTTAATATTTTGCGCAACATATTTTTTTTAACTATTTACTATGATATTGGACCAATTACTCTCAAATTAAAAAAAAAAAAATTGTATTTTGAGAGATGGCTAAAATTTTTAGATCCACCGTTTGGCTCGATGTAGTTATAAATCAATATTAATTTCAAATTTCATAAACCTTCCCGGAACTGAAATGTCATGACTTCCTTTAACAAAAGGCTCATTTTCACAAATGAAATCATCATTTTCTTAGTTAAATTTTCTCTCCACGAAAAGAAAAAACTAGCCCTAAAAACAGCATCCAAAATCAACCTCGCACACGAGATGCCACAAAACCCTCAGCTAGCACCAAAATTAGATCTTCAAAACACTCCTTCAAAGAAATTAAACTTTCCTAGGGGACAACAGAGCAACATACATAAATGGATGAAAATAATATGAATTAAAAGATAAATCGAAACCCTAGTACCTAAAACAGGAGGAGAGTGTTTCAGAAACCAAGCGTGAAGTCGAACTCCATCAGAAGAACGAAGCCAAACGTCCTCATAGTCGAGGTGGAAACGAGAAGGCGTGATGGTATAGGCGCGGGAGAGACCGGGCAACACCGGCACATAGACAAGTCGCTCCTGGAAAGCTACCAACGTGGCCATTCCGACCACCGCGATCCCACCAGCACCGTACGCCAGCGCCTTCATCCAAGAAGTCATTGCTTCGTCCACCGAGCTTCTGCGGCTAAGCTCCGTTGCTGAATTCCGTCAGACAGCTGGTGAGGAACGTCGCATCTCGCGTGGGAGGTGGAACATCTTCAACCGGTTATGGCGGCACTATTGATTCTTTACAAACGGCAACCTATTGAATGGCCAAAATTTTAATTTTTTTTTCTTCTTTAAATGTCATTTAGCATTTAAAATTTTTCTTAGTTTGTTAATAATAGATATCAAAATGGAAAATATTTAATAAAATATAAAATAATTATTTTGTGTTCAAATATTTTTAATAGATTGAGCTTGTTATCTCACTATTGAGCGAAAATTTCTCACACATAAATAAGTTAAAGTTGACTAAGTGAAAGCTTAAGAATGAAAAAAAAAAAAACTTGAAGTATTGGAAACATGTCACTATTTTTAGTTGAGTATTAAAAATGATGCATTTTCTCATAGCTTTATATGATGTTAATATCATCTAGCATCTATGGATTTATGTAGCTTCTGTTGGCAATGCAACAATGGCCATTTAACGGGCTCGTCTCTGATCCCAACCCAATCCCCTCTATTCGCTCTTGTGTATGGGTTAGAGGTCGTTATCCCCTTGGAAGTACAAATTCCTTCATTTAGGATCGTCGTACAAAATCAAATTACAATTGAACAGAATGTACCACTCTGATTACAATAGCTTGAAAAGGCCTTGAAGAATGGCGTCTCCAAGCTCAACAAAATTTAGAACTATATAAAACGTGAATGATTCAAGCTTATGATAAGTTAGTGCGGCCTAGAACTTTCCAAGTATGTGACTTGGTCTTGGTTCTTTGGAGGCCTATCTTAACCCATCAAAAAATCAGTAGGAAGTTTAAACCAATGTGGGAGGGGCCCTTTATTGTTAAGTTAGTCTATGAGGGGGCTCCTACTAATTAGTTGATTGTAAAGAAAATCATCGGATGCTTCTTGTCAACAGGTGTTTCCTCGAGAAATATTATGCTTAATTAATTTGAATTTGTAATCAATGAAAAATCTTTAATTTTGAATCTCATCAATCCGTTTATCTGAACCAAAAACACCAAAAATCAAATCTTTGTTAAATAGATTTTACCAAATCCCATATATTTAGGTAGACTATATCCTTGCTAGTTCCCCTAATTTGATGTGAGTCCCCATGCTTTCTAACTAAGTTATCATTGAACACCAAAAGAAATCCAATATTTTAGAAATAGGAATGAATCCCCGAGCTTACTATCTCATATGATGTTAACTGAGTGGGTGATGTGCTTATTGGCCCCCATCATGACTTAGTCATCTATAATGTCTTTTAGTTAGGTGATGTGCTTCTTTTACTTAGACCTATAGGTAAATCAAATTAAAAAATATATCTATCAGGTATAAGTCCCCTGATGACATCCTTTAGACCCAAGGTTAGGTACTACCTCCCCTAAAAACTCAAAATCCTATTATGATCTCTTTTGAGATTCATCCAATCGGTCAACAAATATGTGTGCAGTACAACTTTGTTCTACTATACATATTGGGGATCCATTTGTTGACCTCATTCTTGCATAAGGTTTATCAATCAAATTCAAAACCAAATCCAAAACTTCAAACCAAAAAAATCAAGGCCAAAAGCCTATGTCCCATAATCCTTTTTGAGATATTTTTATAATCACCTCAAAACCAAATCAAAAGACCTCCAATTTATGATCCGTTAGTTACATATTGATTAGGCATGTCCTTAAGGCCACCTCTAAATTTGAGGTCAATTCAAGAGCTCTATATCCCCCAGTGTGCAGTACAACTTTGTTCTACTATACATATTGGGGATCCATTTGTTGACCTCATTCTTGCATAAGGTTTATCAATCAAATTCAAAACCAAATCCAAAACTTCAAACCAAAAAAATCAAGGCCAAAAGCCTATGTCCCATAATCCTTTTTGAGATATTTTTATAATCACCTCAAAACCAAATCAAAAGACCTCCAATTTATGATCCGTTAGTTACATATTGATTAGGCACGTCCTTAAGGCCACCTCTAAATTTGAGGTTAATTCAAGATCTATATCCCCCAAAACCTAATTGAAATTCAAAGTCTATAAAACCTTTAAATATATACAACACATGCCACTATACTTTGCATCTTATGGAATTTGACCTTTAGACCTTTCTCAAAACCTTTGAACATACCCATAATTATATTTATGACATGTTAAACTCAAAATTGAATATTTTGTGGACTCTTGTTGACCCAAAGTTAACCATGGGCCCACTTCCCTAATTCTCCTAAGGAGTAAAGTTAAAGTTGTCTCTAAACTTTAACTTGGCTCATTCAAACTAGTCTTTTAAGCCTCTTTCAATACATTCCAAATATCATTTTGGTGTATTGAGCCAAAACCCAAGTCTTGGTTTGACTTGGTTGACCAAGTTAACTATAGTTAACTAAAATACCTCTTAAGGGCCCAAACATGCATTTCTTGTAGGGATATCTCATCATTGCATAGAACTGCCTCTATTGGGTCCAAAATATCATTTTGAACCTTTGGACCTAACCTTAATTCTTATTTTGACCTGGTTGACTAGATCAACCCTGAATTATAACCAATAGGTCTAGTCCACTACCTAGCTTAATGCACTAACCATTTGACCTCAATAATTCTCAAATCTCTTCATTATGAACCCCATACATAACCTCAACAATCACTAGCTCCTGGACCAATGATTGACTCAATTTGACCTTGTTGAGCTAGCTCAACTGATCATACACTTCAATCATCTCTATTTGAACTCCAAATTAATTTTGATTTTCATCAAACTCATTTGATCAATCCTCCAAGTGAATTGAGCTTAATTAGTCACCTTGACCTAATCATCAGTTGACTTGGTCAATTGAGACCAAACTTGGTCAAACTTGACATATTTGGGTCAAATCACCACATACAATCAAATCAACCCACATAAACCTCACAAATCATTCAAGACTACTTCATTGTATGGTGTGAACATCTCCCAATCCACCATGAGTCAATGAGTTATGAGTTTAACTTGATTAACTCTCCGTGCATGTTCAAACCTCATTACACATACACTCATCACTCACCCATGCCGTCATAGCATGGCTTTACACACCTTGCAAATTATCCCACCATCTCATTACACTCCCAAGGTGTCACATATGTAGCTTTGACCTTATTGACTAGTGAAACTAGTCAAAAAATAATCAAAACCCCTTTAAATGGGCAACATTCCTCATACAACCCATTTCCCTCCAAAATTTCCTCCCTAATCCATCTAAATAATCCATGAAAGCTCCCTAAACACCCCTCAGCCCGAGCCCAAACTCTGGCTTGCTAAAAATGTTGACAATGCTTTTCACTGGACTAGGTTAAGAGTGATTTTGATACTTACAAGGTGATCATATTCATATAGTGCTAAAAAGGGGGATAAAAATAATAAATTTTATATAATTATTACAGGTGCTTCGGCTACTTAGCCCCAAAACAAATTAGAGCAAGACCAAATGTGGCTAGCTTGAGCGTTTTTATTTTCATATATATAATTGCTTATGATATTTGATTATAACTACTTAATATAATCTTGCAGGAGAGTTTAGACCTTTTCTTTTATATTTATGATGGAATTTTATTCAAATTATAGAGTTGTAAAAATCTTAAAAAAATAAGGCATTTTAAATATAAGGGATTTAAAGAGAAAAGAAAGTCCCTTACAAGAAATTTCTTTTCATTTGGATATCATTCTGGGTTGGGCATATTTCTACCCCACTACAAGGTCATTCAACTCGGTCCTCTATGTTGTGCATGTTTCGACCCCACCACAAGAACATTCAACCCGATCCTTTATGATGGGCATATCTCAATCCAATCATATGATCATTCGACCCTCCGTGTACAGCATATTTTGACCCCACCACAGGGTCATTCAACCCTTTCCTCTATATTGGGCATATTTTGACCCCACCACATGATCACCTACTAGTAGTGGTTAATGCCTTTTATAGCACCACCCTAGTATCCACTCAACTTTGATTCCCTAAGGTTTGACACTCCCTTTCCTTAGAATCAAAATCTTCAATTCTATCGTTCCATTTGGTCAATGTCAATATATGCACTAGAACTTCATTCTACTGCATATATTGAGAGTTCATTTGTTGACCTAATTTATGTATGAGGTCACTAAGACCCACTCGAGTTTCTTTCTAGTGACCTAATGATTGGAAAGTGTCTACTTCCTAATCATTTAGGTCATAATCTCTATCAAACTCAACTCCACCCTCCAATTTAATCCCTAGTTTAACTACCAATCAACATTCAATCAACTTCCAAATCATATCCAATCAATCTAAATTATTTAATTGGCTTCCACTAATGTGGATGGTCTAAGTCCATCCATTCAACGTCTGAATCTAATCCAAACCCAACATCTAAACCAAACCTTTGGGTTAAGGACCCAGGTCCTAAAACCCCTTATAGGTAATTTTTCTATGACCTTGAAACCCAGTTAATTGACATCTGATTTAGATTCTATCAATTGATTATTGATATGATATATCTCTAGTGCTAACCCTCCAAACTTGAACTTATTTAGAGGTTTCTAACCCTATAGGCCAGATTGATCTTTGAAGGTTGTAAAACTTTTAATATTTACAACATGTGCCACTAGTCATGCCAGCTAGTGGAATTTGACCTTGGGACCCCTTCCAAACCTTCCAACCATATCCATTGACTTTGTTAAGATCTCTTGACCGTAAACTTATATTTTTTTGCCTCCAATTTGACCTAATGTTGACCAGAGGTCAAAATGACCAAAATATACTTTAAGGGGTTTTTGGTCTTTTCCCCAAAATCTAACATGGAATTCCCTCCTCAACCCTCAAAACCTATCCCAATGGATCTTAAATTCCCTTAGGAACACATTAGACCCAAACCCATATCATGGGTTAACATGGTTGACCAAGTCAACCTAGGTTTACCCAAAATTCTCTTAAGGGTCAAAATAGTCATTTTGGTTGAGGTGACATCCCCATACCTTGAAACCACCTCCAGTGAACTCCTTGAATCAATCCAAATCTATTGAGCCCAACCCCTGCCCTTAGGTCAACTTGATTGACCAAGTCAACCTAGGTTGACCAAACCCAACATA